TTTCTGAGAGTTTTTCACTGTAGCAGAAAAAGTTAGATGTGACATTTTCTGAGAGCTTTTTATTGTAGAAATCTAAAACTGAAAACTCAAATCGGTAAAATGAACGAGACCTAAATGTTCTTTTCACGACTAATAAAAAGATTTTTTTATATAATTTTCTTTTTACTACTATTAAAAAGATTTTTTTTCCCACGTATATAATGATTTTTCTTAAGTAAATTATTTTTTTCACAGTAAATTGCTATTTACTTAAAATAATTTTAAAATATACTATTTACATAAATAGTTTTTAAATATGAAGTAAATAGTTTTAAAATCTGTTATTTATATTTTTTTAAAGTTTTCATAAATCTATTAAGCATACATTGTCGTGAGTGCAAGTGCCATTTTTCAATTAAAAAATACTTTATTATTGAAAAATAATTTACTAAATAGTGCTATGAACTATTAGGTATTTATTAGATTAATCAACTTTCAATACTTTTATCTTAATGTGATTATTATTAGAAACACACATTATTTATAAAAATATTTGGTATAAAATGTTTTTTTAATGAAAAAGAAATTAAGGCTCCATATGTTTCATAGATTCAAAATGTTTTTATTAAATTTTGTTGAATTTTGCTGAATTATTATAGTATTTTTTTCATACAAAAAATTATATCTTATATTACAACATTTTGTTAGAATTTAGGAATTAAACGGGTCCTAAAATATAACTTTTAACTTTTTTTTTTATTCAAAGTCGTTGTTAAATGTTAATCTACAAACGACAACATACCTTACTACTTTCTTTGTTTTTTTATGATATTTTTCCCACTCTCCTCTGGCTCCTAATTCCAGTAGTAACAAAAGCATACAATAAGAGAGAGAGAGAGAGAGAATAGAGGGCCAAATCGTAGTTTGATGAAAACGGAGAAGAACCTCATCATCAAAAGCCTCTCTTTTCATCTCAACCATGCCATTTTCAAGGTCTCTCTTTTTTTTTTTCCCTTTTTCTCGGACCCCCCAAAAAAAAAAAAGTGTACATAAATGAGTTTCTACAGCTTCTTTTTTATTGGTTGGTTAGTGGGTTTCTATTGATTCATGTGTTTGGATTGGATGTACTTACACAGAACTTTGACTTTGAGGCGTGTATTTCTGCTTCCTGGATTTAGTACTTTCCGACCGAGAAATGCAAATCTCTAGATTCATTCCTTCTTGGCTCTTGGACATTCTCGCTTGCATGGGGTGAGTTTTTCTTTGTTCCTCTCTCCAATATCGGTCTTTTTCTGGTTCTGTTTGGTTGCTAAGAAAACAACAAGGAAAAAAATTCGAGATCTGGATTCGTTTTCAGTGCAAAAGGAGTGTAGTGAGTTTTATCTGTTTGGTTGCCGAGAAAAAGCAATTGGGATTTTAGGCAAAATTTGCGAACTTTAAATTGGTGAATATTTTTTTAGAGTGATATCCTGAGCTGAACTTTGAATTCTTTTGATATTCCTAGTAATTGATGGGATTTTTTTTTTTTTTTCATTTTCTTGGTTGGGGTTCTGGGATGGGAAAGAATAAAAAAAAAGTAGATTTTTTTTAAAATTTTCTTTCTGGATTCCCTAGCTTTCCGGGGAATCAAATAGGTGTTAGGGTATTCTTTTGTTGCTTGGTCTCCTCTCCTTGACTTGATTTGGAAGTTACTTGTGTTTGCTTGTTTGTTAAGCGAACTAGTATATATGAACAGAGAGACATTTATGCTTTTTTTTTTTTTGGCCATTCTTTACTTGATAGTTTGGGCATTTGGTTATAGAATTATAATTGCTAGAGGTGTTTTGGTTTTGTATGGAATTTCTATAGGCGCTAAAAGCTATGTATTCCAAGTGTTGTTTGTTGTCCCAAATGGAGAGATGCTTCGGAAACAAACCTTGCTGCTCGTTTTTAGTGTTTTCTTGTGCTTGTTTTCGGGCTTTTGTGCTCGTAATCTTGGAGAAGTGCAAGAGAAAATTCAAGATAGTTGTAAGAAGAGGAAAAAAAACAGATTTTCTGTTTCTAATTTTCTGTGATTGCGTAACAAATTAAGTAATCTTGGTCAGCTTGCTTAGCATTATTTCTTTGTAAGGAATGATAGCAACAAAGTTTATCTTGATGCAGTTGTCTTTTGGCATATGGGTATTTTCCACAAGTTAACATTGAGAAAAATTATAATTTCTTCTATGTCGGAAACTCAGAATTGAGCTGTTATTTTCTTTCTGTAAAGAAGTTTTAATATTTGACCAACACAAAATGATTGATCCAGTTTCATGCATCTAAGTAGTTTCCTTTTCTTTTTTCGTTTTTTTTTTTTTTTACTTTCATCTCTTTTCATGCATCTAAATGTTTTTTTTTTTTATGACATTATTTCTTGTGCTTATTAAATGTTCATTGTTATTATTCCTAGGGAAAATTAAAAGCAAAGATAATATGTTTTGGCAGTAATTGAGATTTTGTGATTGCACTGCCTTCAGTTTGTGTTCATTTCATTTTCGTTCTTCTTATTTTCTGTGGATGACAGGTTTGAAGACAGTGTTTCGTATTCTTTTTAGTTGCTTTTCGTCTTTCATCATTTTTCATTTCTGCTTTTCCAGTTTTTGATGAATGTGGCTTCTAAATTGGCAATTTGAGTTGATAGGTGGTGTTAATCAATATTTTGTGGTTAAACCTGATTTAAAACAGAGCAGAGGCTGTCTTGGATGCTTTACCAAGCCCTCGCTTATTATTGCGGTAGATGAGCCATCGAAGGGACTGAGAATACAAGGCCAGCCGGTGAAGAGATCTAGTTTTTCGGAGGATCTTTGGAGCACTAGCACCATTGAAATGGAGAATGGTGGGCTCCAATCCTCCCAGAGAAGCATCTCATCACTCACCACCTCAAGCCATGCACCTGATCCCAACAGTACTTCCACGAGCACAAGCAATCCTCACGAATTTGTAAATCATGGCAAGTTCATACCAGAAACTTCTATCCATTTTCCATTTGGTTGTTTTTCTTTGTTTACTTTTTTCCAACACTTGACAATATCATCCTCTAATTCGCGTGTTCACTCGCTTCAAGCTAAAGCAAGTCCTCCTTTCAATATTTCAAACTTCAAAGCCCATATTGTTTACTGATCCAAGCTTGTGCTTTGTGCGGAATCAGTCTTTCTTTAGTGTTGACGGTTGATATGGTCAATGATTTGAATTTTTGAGGCTTCTTCTATGCTCTGCTAAACTTTTGCAGTATTCATTTCATTAACAAGAAAAATTTACTTCAAAGCCCATATTGTTTACTGATCCAAGCTTGTGCTTTGTGCGGAATCAGTCTTTCTTTAGTGTTGACGGTTGATATGGTCAATGATTTGAATTTTTGAGACTTCTTCTATGCTCTGCTAAACTTTTGCAGTATTCATTTCATTAACAAGAAATATTTCTACCATTTCTATTAGAAAATGATCGTTCAAACATGAAACTCTTTTAGTAATTGGAAATCATTGGATTCAGGCCTTCTTCTCTGGAATCAAACAAGGCAGCAATGGCTTGGAAACAAATCATCTCAGAATAAGATGCAAATTCGAGAACCCAGAATAAGGTAAATCACCTAATCTCTTTCCAATAAATAGTATGAACTATGAAGTCATCAAAAGTAGTCTTGCCATTTCATAGAAGGGCGCTTTTCCCCCTATCATCTATTGCCAATTTTCATTTTTATCTAACCTCCCAAGTTGCCGAGATGCAAGGATTTCAATATTTTTCGTTTCGTCATGAAAATAGTTTAGAAAAAAAAAAAAAGTGTAATATTATCACCTAACCATTCTGATTTGCAGTTGGAATGCTACTTATGAGAGTTTACTTGGAACCCTCAAACCTTTCCCACAACCAATCCCACTTTCTGTAAGTTGTTTAAGTTATCAAACAGAAGAAATGCTAACGTCACTCTCTTTTTCACTTTCCACATTCATTGTTTGACACGTGGGTTCAACTATCTTATTTTCTGTTTAAATAATAATATATCATATTAGTGGAGTCCACAAGTTAAACAATAATGTAGAAAGTGACAAAAGAGTGACGCTAGTATTTCTCTACCAAACAAAGGTTTTCTTGGCCCCTATTGTTCTGTTTTGCTTAAAGGTTTGTTGGTCTTATTTGGCAGGAAATGATAGATTTCCTTGTTGATATTTGGGAGCAAGAGGGCTTGTACGATTGACCAAGCAAAACACGAAAACATATTAAATTCTTTATGTTTTTTTTTCCCCTTTTGTTTCCCCGTTTTTCTCATTTGTAATTCATGTTTAAGTGCTAATCAGATTCATATTGCGGACCCAATTACACTCCCCAAGTTAGTTTAATATTATACGTCTTTTTAGGCTACTTTGATGGGGTTCGAGGATAATCCACTTGTTGTACAAATCTTCTCGTTCGACTTCCTCTTGGGTGTTATAATCGAAAGTGTATCAATCAATTACCATGCCAAAAGTTCTTTAGGAATTTCTAGTATTCTTTACTGATATAACAGCCTTTTTTATCAAGTCAAATTTATCATCTTGTTTGATGGAAGGAAAGAGTTTTCTTTTATTATTTTGTTCCGAATTTGATATGAGACCAGGGAAAGGGGGGACGTTTGGTTTATAGATTCAGAATTATTCTCGCTTTACGTGTGTTTTTTGTGAGAAAAAATATTGTAACAAATCACGAATCATGACACAAATCATGACACGAATCTTCCTTCTAAACGTTCCCGAAATGAAATCACTTATGTCGTCAAGCAAATAGATACAGGTGAAGAAGGT